TCTCCTCCACTATCTACATTTTCTCAGTCTATTTATCCTCTCTAAGATCTACAGTTACAGTGTTGTGGGGTGCTCAGTCCTCTTCTTTAGCAATTTATAATTACTTTGAACTTTGGCTACTTCCATTCCTGGGAATGACAGACCAAGGTACTAACTAGCAGATAACATGATTAATCCTTCCTTCAAAAAACAAAATAAAGCAAAAATGAAAACTGGGCACACTACAAAAAACCCTGTCTGAAGGTAAAGTAGAGTAAATGAAAGAAGGCAGGATCTGATGTAGTGTCAAAGCGCACTAGGAATAAAGATGGAAAGCTGTACAAAATAAGTCACCATCTCTTCAGAACGTAACCTAAAACTAACTGCAGTCTTCATGGTTTAGGAGCAGTGGCCAAGGAATACATGGAACAGTGAAGCCTGGGTGCATTACCCGCTGAGAAAGTAGGGGAAACCCAGAAGAGATGGAACCATACAAGGGGTTCTGAAACTTGAACAACTCATCAAAGAAACAGATTCAGTTCATCTCACCAAAAAGCAAAAGATCTGAACTGAAGCTAGAGGTGCTATTCAAGAAACTGTTTGAAATTCAAGTGAAAGTGAAAGTCGCTTGGTCCTGTCCGACTCTGCGAACCCATGGATTATACAGTCCATGGAATTCTCCAGGCCAGAACACTGGAGTGGGTAGCCTTTCCCTTCTCCAGAGGATGTTTGCAACCCAGGGATCGAACCCAGGTCTCCCACATTGCAGGCAGAATCTTTACCAGCTGAGCCACAGTTTGAAATTAAAGCCTACTCCAAAAGTTAACTGAAAAAGCCACCATTCACTGGAGAAGAATAACCAAACCCTGAATCTCTACTGTTTAATGTTTATAATGTTTAGAGTACAATTCAAAATTACCCAGCATATGGTACTTCCCTAGCAGTCCAGTGGTTAGGACTCCATGCTTCCACTGCAGGGGGCATGGGTTCGATCCCTGATAAGGAAATCGAGATACTGCAGCATGTTGCACAGCACAGGCAAAAACAAAACAAGCAAAAAAAACCCCCTCAATTACTCAGCAGATGCAGAACCAAGAAAAACAACCATCTTTTCCTCTCCACAAGCAAAAATGGCTATTATCCCTATCCTATGATGCTAAAAAAAAAAAAAAATCCTTTCAATGGATTAAAATCTTATGAGAGAAATTAAAAAAAAAAAAAATCCCAGCACAGAAACAGAAACAATACAAACTGTTAACTGATTCAGTCACAGAACATCAGTCACTGGGTGAAAAAGACCACAGGATATTCACATAGTCTCAAAGTTACCATCTTACAGATGAGTTTACAAATGCTGAAAGTGAAAAACGAGCCTTGGGGAGGAATCTGTCAGACAACATCTAAACCAAGTGTTTGGAACTCACCACTGCCAGTAAGGGATAAACATGTATGTGAAACAATGTATTATTATTATTACACCATAACATTACAAATTTCCTTTAGTTTTGAAATATTTTCCAAAAAGTTAGAGGGAAATACAAAAAGAAAAAAATTGCAAAAAGGCGTATTTTTACAAATAAGAGAGGGAAGAATTAAAACAGCTGCCTTGCCATCTGTTCACTTTTCTTACCAGGAAGAAACTCAGGGAAAAGTAGATGATGGAGTTTAATGTGTAGCTGAAAATCTGGGTATAAGTTGTATATAACTTAGAAACAGGCCATGATGGAGCACAAGACAAAGCAATTCTAACAGCTGATAAAGTACAAAAGATGCTTTTAATAAGAGATTGAAACATGCAAAAATAGAAAAAGAATGGAACAAAAGGCGAAAGAGTTTTAACACAGAGAAGAGCAGCAAACAGAGCAAGAGCTCACATATAAATCATCATTGTATATGAATACTTAGCACAAGGAGAATTAACGCCCTCAGAGAAGTTAAAAAGAAAAGTTGACTGGCTATACTGAGCTGTGAGGAGATAAAGAATCTGAAAACTTATCACACATTTTGGACCTTTTTCCCTTAGAGAGCAAGCTTCATGTTTATTACATTACCTCTTTCCTGGTGGCTCAGATAGTGCGGTGAAGACTCTGCCTACCAATGCAGGAGACTCAGGTTCGACTCCTGGGTCAGGAAGATCCCCTAGAGGAGGGAATGGCAACTCACTCCAGTATTCTCCCCTGGGAAATCCCACGACACAGAGCCTGGTGGGCTATAGTTTATGGGGTTGCAAAGAGTTGGACATGACTGAGCGACTAACACTAACGCATCCAATCTTTAGGAGACAGAGTCTACATATATTTCAGAAGTTCTCATTTTAATGAAGGAGTATAGTGAAATGGCTAACACTATCAACTTTATAGTTAGTTACAACCAGATCATTACCTAACAACTATTTGATTGAGAACAAGCTGCTGAACTTCTCCAAGCCTGTTTCCTACTCTGTAAGATGGAGATAATATCTACCTCATGAGACAGTGAATATAAAACACTAATACAGTGCCCGGCACATAGTAAATAATAAAAGCTAGTTATCTAACCCTTATTATTGAGAAAAAAGATTTCTTGTACATTTTTATTAATTTCATTCTATGCTCTAATTTCACCATCTCCTTCTCTAGCTAAATAACCTGGAGATCTGTCAAAGTCAAAAAGCTACCTTAATATCCAAAGAGAAAGGAACTTTCAGAAGCCAGTGTATATATACCAGAATCAAAGCTAAAAGTGTTAATACCATTAGAAAAGGCAGCAAGATTTCTTTCACATTCATACATTACAGGCTATAAAACTGGAATCTATCATTTCATAGTATCATAAAGACCAGGCAACTTTTTTCCTTGACCAGAAAAAACAAACTCCTATTTCTAAAAATATCTCAGGTTTTCTTCTTAAGGAAGTCCTCTTGCAACAAAATACCCTATTATCATAGAAAGCAAGTATAGGACAAGACCATAAAAATGTAGTGGTATATGAGCTGAGGAAAAAATTCATCTGGAAAAATGGGTAAGAAAAGGTTTTTCTTCAAATTTAATTGAGACTGTGAGCTTTCTATTTTGTGGCTATTTCTTTGATACTCCTGTGTACATGATAAAACATTCCCTTAAGAAATTACAAATGATCTTTCAATTTAAAAATGTTTTATGTATTTGCTTCTTTTAGAAAGTAGACCAACTTGGTAAAAGAACCATAACTGAAGAATGAAATTTGACATGTAAGGAAAGCAAACATATAGACTTACTCTTTTTCTGGTTTTTATATTTAGATTTAATTCAATTTTTAAACAGCACCGTGAAAGTTGAAGGTAGAGTATCCAAATTAAACCATCCTAACCACTGACATTGACTCAAGAAATATATGTACTGTTAATTTTATGAATTTAAGGACTATATCAGGCAAGGAATTTTAGCTTTCTATGAGGCAACAATTCCATAGTGGTCTTTTATAAACACAAGGAAAAACAGAAACAAGCAAAAACTATAATCATGACAGTAATCTTATAAACCTATGAACTTTATCAGTGAGTCTGATTTTCTACTGCTGATGAGATTTAAGAATTACAGAAAACAAGTTTCACATATAGATCAAATAGGACAACTTTGTTTCTAATTAACTAAACTAAATTCATTATTGAGTTATGGAAGGGATGTATTTTAAAGATTAATGAATATCTTTTGTTTCTAAACTCCTGATACAATGCACAGAGGCTTACTGTATATAATCCATCCTTTCCACAGTAAAATAAAATCAGCAATTATATAGTAGCTCAAAGCCTCTGAATAATTTAGGACTACAAAAATGACTATTCAGAAGAAATTACAGGGAAAAATTTAGGTAAGGAATGTAATTTAGTAAGGAGCCTGGTTAAAAGAAAGTGAAAGACAACAGCACAAATCATAACTTCTTACCTTAGTGTTATCCTCAAAAATCTCTAAAGATTTTATTTCTCATAGGAATTTCATGGAAAAAAAAAGTCTCAATGATACATAAAACAAAGCAATACAAATAATAATTAAGAGTCAAATATAGAGTATTTTGAATGAATGGCTGGACAGTAAGAGTATTAAAACTTATGACATATCAAATGGATTCCATGAATTTTATGGTCCTATGAAAAACAATACAAATTAAGGGAAAAAAGCCACAAAAATCATAACTCACACCAAAGAATCATGTTCTACATCTGTTTCTATTCAGATTAACTACGGTAACTTTGTCTTATAGGACACTTTTCATCCTTTCAAAAGGAAAAAACAGTGAGAAGTTTTGATAATATAACTCAATTAAAATATTGTTAGAGATTTCTCTTGCTCTTTTATCTATCTCAAAACTTAGAAGTTCTACCAAAATGTAATAGTCAAACATACACACAAAATGACCCTGTAATTAAGGTAATTGCTGGTACCAAATGTTGTTTTTAAGTTCTTCAATAAAACAGTCTTCCAGACATTTAATAGTATGTCATTTGGTAAATGAAAGTTTCCACAAAGAACAGCGAGAAGACCTAAAAATTATGCTAGCAAAGAGTCTGGCTGAAAGAAACGAAAATACGGATCATTTTGGTCCAATACTAATTTTATTTCAAGTTACTACAGAGCTGAATAAAATGGTGACGCCACCACACAAAAATTTATTGAGCTGGCAATAGGCAAAGCATGATGTCAGCCACCAATATCACCATCCACATTACCAAACAACAGGAACTTAACTGAGACCTCATGCCTAAACTTTTAGTAAAAATAAAAACCTTAGGCATGAAGCATTATTAAATATAGATGAGTTTAATCTGGCAGTTTTGACTCAAGTTAATCTAATTGTACTTTAACAACTTCAGTAAAAAACATAAAATAATGCAAACAAATCCAATTTTCTAAATGTAGTGCTACATTCTTCACCAAACAGATCCACACAGACAAGCCTTAGCCGACTCACATTACAGTCCATAAATAACCCCGAACACACGTGAACAAAACGCAGCTGACAGGAGACATGGAAACATGTGCACACAGCTCCACGCAAGTCCTCACCTTCATGGCACGGATTTCCTCCAGCAGTCGCTGTGCTCGTCTTTGGTTTTTCAACAGTGCATCTTCGGTACCCCTGCAAAAGACACATTATAATATGTAGCCAGAAAAAGGATTTATTTGAGACTAGTATCATAATAAAAAGTCTTTCCATTTATTTTGGAAAAGCTTAATAATTTCTAAATAACACGTATTCTGTCATCCTGCACTGCCCTTTCCCCCATCCAACACACACCCCAACTCCATCAACAAATCCAAGATTTTGGCATTATATTAATGACATTATCACTGATAGCTTTTCTTCTAATTCCTTAATAGGAAAGCCAAATAATAATTTCCAATTAACAGCACATTGCATTTCATGTAAGCAATAAGCTTGGATATAATTAAATGAAAATTTGTTTTCTGGAATTAAATAAATATCTAAAGAAATTAAATATATAATTGTATCAGAGGAGAGCTACCTTATGAAACATACACACAAAAACAAGAAATTAACCAGGAACAAAACATGTTTGAAGACTTTGTTAGTATTCATGCTTAAAGCATAAGAAGTATAAATAACATACTTATATTCTCATACTAGTGATACCAAAAATATAAAACATTATTTTGTTCAAAAAAATTAAATGGAACACAGTGTTTTGACAAATACTTCGAAAAGGTACTAAAGATTTCAAATTAATCAGCAATTCAAGGAATATGGTGATATAAAATCTTCATAATTGATTCAGACTATCACTTGCTTTGCTAACCTACATGAAAAACATCTTAAAATAATAACTTCTAATAACATAAAATATATAAATAACTTCAAAGACTTTTCAGTTTGACAAAGCCAAAAGAAGAGGTTTGAAAACAGAATTTATCATACATCTTAAGTGAATATGGTCCGAACTATGTAAGCACATGCTGACACAGCACATTTTATTTCACTCAGGATCTATGTACAGATAAAACAAAGTGCTGTAGGAGTAAGATATTTAATTACTCCTCTAAGTCCCACCCTCAACTTTTGTAAATACTGAACAAAAACAACTTTTGACATTTTATTAGTCACAGGACCATAATGTTAAATGACTAACTTTTTTGACTTCAGTCTGCCAACACTCCTGACAAGTTTTCGGATAACCAAAACTCGGATTCTCTTCACTTCTTTTCTCATCTTCACAACCTTCAAGGAATAAAGCCAAAATTAGAGAGTCTTAATTCAAGAGGGAATATACCTTATAGTGAATACTAATAATACAGAATATGCCTGCCACCTTGGCTGAGTTTCGTTTAACTGTATTTATAGCTTGATGAAATCTAACTTCTTCCAAAACAGAGAAGGAATAAGAAATAAATCAACATTCTAAACAAGTGTATGAGGACTTACAAGAAACATCTCGTGATTTAAAACACAAAACAAAACACAGCATTCCCAGTGGCTCGTGTTTTAAATTACACTTTTATCTTGTTGGGTTTGGCACATAATAAACTGTGAACTCGCTGAGATCAGAAACCATCATATTTATCTCTAAATCCTTGTGGTTTAAAACAAAGCTTCACCTATAAACTATAGGAATTTAATGTACTGAAAACATTTGTATTAACAAAAGCAAATGCATGAAAGTGATTTTATTTTACTTATTTTTAGCACATCCCTTTCATTTATATTTAACAAATCATTTTAAGCATAACTTGAAAAACAGAAGGGCAGGCACCATGCAGGGGCACACAGACACTTTAAATTACCCCATTAGAGAACAATGTTGAGCTCTAAGAATCAAAAAAACCAAAAAAAAAAAAAACCCAAAAACCGTTGGCCAAGAGAGAGAAATATTCTAATGATAAACAACTACATGTTACAACAGTACTTACTGCAATGGGATGCTACCATTTTGAGTTCATGTTTTCTCTGTTACTGTTAAGAGGCATACATATATAATTCATCCTGTAATGTCCTTCACCCCATTCTCCACTCTAAGAACTAGATGAAATTCAGTTTGGATATACTCATTGCTGTGAAATCTTCAACGACTTCTTCAGTAAGATAACCATTCCATCCCTGGAGTTCCCATTATACCTGTAGGCAGCACCTACCACTGTACTGTCACTAATTGCTCACAAAGTATTCTTTTTCTATAATCTCCTGAAGGGCAGGGCCCTTGCAATATTTACATAATGTTTTCTGTGCCTTGCAAGAGTGTCTGACATGTACAATTCTCAAATTCTGGTTGACAAAATAACAGTAGCAACATCATTCTGTTTTTACAAGGCTCTTGAATTTAGCTGTTACTTTTTTGCCTTTCATTAACATCATTCATCCTCTTATTCATTGATAATATGGGCGACCAACCTACAATTTCTCTCCACCATAAGTTTTGCCATTATTCTGGGTGATGCAAATGTCCACTTGAATAATCCACCCAATATTATAGCCTCATTCCTTGACTTCCTCCTTTCTAATGGCTTAATCTATTCCATCACAGCCACCCACTTTCAGTCATACTATAGTCCCTGTAATTGTTCATGATTATTCCATTTCTAAAACCATCAATTCAGATTCTATACACTGAGATCAACTTCATGTTCAACCCCAGCCACCACAAAGGTGTTCGATTTCACTGGAACCACCAGTTCACTGACTCCTATACTTTTCCTCAAGTGATTAGTCCTTTTCAATTTTCCTTCTCTTATCTAGTTTAGGTACATAACCAACACATGCCAATATATTATACTCATCCTTCTGGTTAGTGAATCCTGGATAAAAACAATATTCTGAGTTCTTTATCACAGTACCCCAAAAGCCAGGAAACATTTGAGATATTCTATCTACTAGATATCCATCTAGTAATGGATCTAGTAATCTCTAGTAGTAATCTCAAATGAGTTCTTACACTTCTTATTATACCTAAATACATACTTTGGTCAATTCACTTTACAATCATTATTCTAAATCTGTGCCTGCTTTCCTAAAACATCTAACCTTTCTCTTCCTCTCTTTCTCAATTTCATGAAGAAAATAAACATCAGATGGGAACCATCACCTTTCTACTATCATGAATGTAAATTTAATTGCATCACCCATCCCCCTCTATTAATAAAGTTATGTGCATGCTCAATCATATCCAACTCTTTGTGACCCAAAGGGCTATAGCCCGCCAGGTTTCTCCATTCATGGGATTTTCCAGACAATAATACTGGAGTGAGTTGCCATTTCCTCCTCCAATTCCTGACCCAGGGATTAAGCCAGTGTCTCCTGTGGCTTAACTGCACTGGCAGGCAGATTCTTTACCACTGAGCCACCTGGGAACCACTTAAAGTTACAATATAAGAAATATTACTAAACTTTTCTGAGGTTAATCTTCTAACTATTTTGGATCCCATCCTTTTCTGCCTTCCTAGAACGCTCACTGCGAACTATGTATTTACTCTAGGACTGTCAATCTCTTAAATGTGTGTTTCTCACACATTTTTTTAAAATTGGGGTACAGTTGCTTTACAATGCTGTGTTAGTTAGTGGTGTACAACAAAGTGAGTCAGTTACATGTGTATATATATATTTCCCTTTCCTTTTGGAGCTCCCTCCCCCCATTCCACCCATCTGGGTCATCACAGAGCACTGAGCTTAGCTCCCTGTGCTACACAACAGGTTTCCACAAGCTATCTATTTTACACATGGTAGTTTATCTATGTCAGTTCCAATTTTCCAATTCATCCCCCACACGCCTCCCCGCCCCTTGTCCACACTGATTTCTGATCATGCTTGAGTCATTTTCATCAAAAACAGAAACAAAACAACCTCACTACAAAGTTTACAGAAGCTTCCTCTCTTCAACTGCTCCAGAGTCAGGTTTTTGAGAGATGTTCAAACAGATCACTCCATATATGCATGCCACATAATTCCAGTTTAATTTTCATTTCCACCAGTCTACTAAATGCTGTCACAAAGACATCAATAACTTCTAAAAGTCCCTGAAGTCAACAGGAATTTTTCAGACTTATTTTGCTTGGAATCTCAGCAGCATTTGATACTGATGAATACTTTCTCCTTCTTAAAATACTCCCCTTTGGCTTGTATACCAGAATACTTATTTTGGTTTTTCTTCTTCCTCTCTAGCTACTTTATCTTCGTCTTCTGTGAAGACACATCCATCTCTAATCAGTCTTGAACTGATTAGGCCAGCTCTTCCTTTCAAGATATATTTTTTAGCCCTAAGTGATCTTATGTGTATATACAATTTTAATTTGCCACCTAAGAAAGATGACTCAAAAATTTCTACCATCAGCTTAGATCTCCACTTTAGCTCCAGACCTAAATGTGTAACTGCCTACTTAACATTTCAAGTATGCTTAAAAACATCTCCAACTAACAATGAACCCATGCTATTCACTCTCAACTGGATCTCTTTTTTGGTCTTTCATACTTAAGGGACTAGAACAATCTTTTCAATTATAAACCTAACTTTCATTTCTAAATCCCTCACAATGAATCTATTACTAAGTCCTAATAATTTTATTTCCTAATTATCTCCCCAATTGTACCATTTTCCCTTCTATCTTGACTTGGCTCTCTCGGCTGAGTTACTGCCAACTAGTCTCTCAATATCCATTCTTGTCCTTCTCCAATCAGTTATCTACAACTCAATCAGAACACATTTTTTTAACACTTAGATCTGATGTAACACCTTTACTTAACTCTCCTCAGTGGTTTCAACTGCTCTCAGGATGGCCACAAATGCCATCTTTTAGTCCATTCTCACCATGCTTACAACTACCACCAATCTTTACATCTGCTGTCTTCTCTGTTAGGAATACTCTTTCTCCTCATGTTAGCTTGTTAACATCTTATCTGATTTGGCCTAATTGTCATTTCTCAGTAAAGTGTCTCCTGGCCTCCCTCAGAGGGTCAAAAAGTGCTTATAGAATTTTCATGACCTTTATTTTAATATTTTACTTTTAATCTGATAATGCTTAATGTGTCTTTCTCCCACTAGTCTATAAATTCCATGAAAGTAAAATATCTGGTTTTATTTAGCATTGTATCTTAACAGTCAGCATAGCAGATGACATACAATAGGTGGTCAATAAATATTTGTTAAGTAAATGAACAGAAAAGGAGCAATACTCCCATGATCATTCACCGTTTCTAAAGAATACTATTTTAACAGAACATAATCAGATTTCCACTATCTACATGAACCTCTTTAGAATCTGTTTCAAAATTAGATCTATTTAGGAAAAAAAAAATCATACCTGCATAAACAAAAGTCACTGAGATCAGGTTTAAGTGGAAAAATGGACTGTTACATTTCATAAGTGGCCAAATAGTGGACTATGATCCATTTCTGAAAGTCAAGTCATTCATAAAATGAATAGCAAGTGATAAATTATGCATTAAAATATATTAACAAATGTTTCCAATTGCTGTACCCTGCAGGTGCAGGAAAAGATTAACCATTTGCTAACTGCTGTTAACCAAACTTAACTAATAAACTGCAGGAAGCAGAACCGGTCCTCAGTTACATTCCAATCATGGGAAAGCTAGACTCCAATTTTAAAACTCCAATTTAAGAAGCACTATGTTTGTCATTACTGCATAAGGGAATTCTGAAAAGCAAAGGGAATGCTTCATGTGCTTAGTTTCATGCCGATGCCAAAAAATGCTTTTTTAGCTTATTAACTTTTTCAGTTATTTGGTAAGTATAGTATACTAAAAATATATATATATATTCACTTCATATAAAAATGAAATTATTACTTTTATTTCCTCACAGTTTGTCTCACTTAGCTTTCTAAAAGCATTTAAATTTATTTTTACACAGCTGACAAACAGCTACCAGTAGCCCTTGACTTAGAATTTAAAAGGTTGCCAATTCACTTGTCAGCCAGGAATCATGAAGCTGGTTGACAGGTATCCCAGACATCAACAGATAGTCCTAAAACACTCAGCACTGTCAGAAGGCCAATGTACTGCTTTAGGGCAACACACTTTGGTGAATTCTTTAACCAAAAGCAAACATAACTGTGATTGTTACAAATGTGAAAATAGTATAATACTGTTCGGGAGGAAAAAAAGGAAAGAGAAATAAAGTGAGAAAGGACAAAACAGGAATAATAATGAAATGTGCTGACAGGAAAGAGACACAATGAAAAAGTAGTAAAAGAGTGTGAAGTCAAAAACTGAAG